ACCTGGCACTCACTATGTAGACAGGCTGGTTTCGATCTCACAGAGATCTGCCTGCCTCTGGTTCCCAAGTGCTGGGATTAAAGGTGTGCACCACCACGCCTAACAAGACCCGGATTTTTAAACGATGAGGTAGATAATTAAGGCCAGATAGGGCAAGTGACTTCTAAGGTCTAACTCAAGAGCTTATGCCTTTTCTATCTACCTTGCTCTCTGTGTAGAAACGGGCAGGTGGTGAATGAAGTGTGAAAGAGGGCACTTTCTATTAAGAAAGACTACAGAGTGAGAGAGAGTAAACAGTCACAAAACCAAGCCTAAGTGCACAGCAGTTCGTGTGTCCAGATAAGCCAGTGAGCAAGAAGAAAGCTTCCAAGCCAAACCCTGACACCTGATGACACGGTATCCTCTACCTCAGAGGACATTAACATCTAATTCAAGGAGTTAGTTAACTCTGTCTCTCAATTTCAACTTCAAACTGGAATTTCTGAAGTTGAGTCAAGTCCACTGTGGACCTTTTTTTGGTAGCTGCTGAAACAGATGAGATGATAAAGAATTCCTTTGCCTATGGATGAGGAGGAGGGTGTAGCTGCTGTGAACGGAATGTTCTGTAACCTCACATATCTTTCTGCAGGATTAGGCCAGAAAGCATCAGGCTAAGAAGCAAAGAAACGAAAAGAAAACTGAATGGTTTTCTGCTCTATTCCCCATCAAAATGAAAACTCTGAAGAGCAGAGTGTCTCCTCCCTCTCTCGTGTCTGTCAGCACATTTCCAGAAGGCCTAGCCACGTTGCTGCACTGCTGGCTGGGGAGATCACTGACACAGCACACGGGTTCGCGGTGGGGCCCCGCCTGGGTGGTCTGCTGGTATCCCTTTGATTAAATTCCCAGGCTGGAAGCGCTGGAGCAGCTCCTAATGATAGCTGGGTCCTGAAATCTCACGCTTGCCGGCCAGAGAGAGCCAGGGCCCCCCTGATGCCTCCCACTCCTCACCGCAGGCTGGGCTCCTTCAACACATTCTTCTGTGTACTAACGGCAATAACCACAAAGGGCCAAGTCTGCTGGAGCTACCCTGCCTTGCAGGGCTGAGAGAGAAAGTAGACCTCACATGGAAGCTGAAGCCCGTGGCACTCCAGAGTGCCTCCCCTCACAGGTGCAGATGCTTCCAGAAAACACTGCTTTCAGGCACACACACAACAAATGCTAAAAGATCCCATCTCAGATGACCAGTCTCTCACAGATGAAGGAAAAAGTCTAAGTGTGATCTGTTCTCTGTTGATTATCTGTTGAATAATCATACACTGAAAATATATTACAACTTTCTATTTTGAATGTACATGTGCTTGCACAACATTAAGGGACCACTGCTCGTATGGTGGGGAAAGTTTGATATTCTTATGAGTTTTAGGATTTAAACAAAGCTGCATCACTACAGAAATGATTTAAAAAAAAACAAAAAAACGGTAAATGAGGTTCTGCTTTTAGCCATATAAAGTCCTTAAGAAGGTAGCTGCTAATATAATTCTAGCTTCCTCAAAGCTTTATCAATTATGGGGACTGCTGTTCTTTGGTATTTTCACTAGAAGACAGGGAGGGAAAGGGGGTGGCCTCATCCTCCAGCCCCACCTCCTCCCAGCCACCTGAACAATCCAGCCGAAGCAACTGTATCTGAGTGCTTCAAGTCCTCTGAGTCCACCAAGTTCCTCTGCAGGCCTCCCAAATTCTGCCTGAAGGAGCTGGGCCTTCCCTCCTCCAGCTTCAGGCCTAGCTGAAGCACTGACTCCCTGAGCTGAACACACACTCAACAGCCCACTACTTGCACAGACACGCATGTGAGGTCTCCCCGGAAGCTACTGCTGGCCTTCTTATGATTCGGTTGAAGATGGTGGTTTCTAAGAAGTCTGCTTTGGCCGTCTTTTTCTACCCCCCCCCCCCCCCACAGCTGGGTCAGGTGATTTTGTTATTCCGAAAGAAAATCTCTGTCACGTTCTTGGCTATTACTCTCACGGTTAAGTGGCTGCCACTCTTCCAAGACGGAGTTATTTCTCAGTCAGAACTATGGCCTACCAACCCCATGGCTTAATGCCAAAGTCAGGAATATACTCTTAAAAGCTTAGAGAAAACCTTTTAACTAAATAAATAGTCATAATAAAACACAAACATTTTCTAGAAAATGACACTGAATATTTTAGTAAGCTAAGTATTTGAAATTAAAGGCAAAAATAAAATGGATTTTCATAAATACTCAACATTTAATTTTCTGTACAAATCTTCAAAACAGTACAAATAATTTAAAATCTCCTTTCCTTATCCAGTGGAAGGTCCTGTAACTCTTTGCCTACAAAAACAATTACATACCCACATTTGTAGATATAACTAAAGCAATGCTCAGAGGAAAATTCATAGTCTTTGAAAAGCATGAAAAAGGAATTAGTAAGGATAAAACAATAAAATAATCAATTAGAAAACACTAGAATTAATATATCCAGACTTAATCTAATGAAAGGGAGAGGGTTATACATTAAATCCACCAAAAAGACTAAAAAAGAAAAAGAAAACAAAGCACACATGTAAAATACAAACTGAAGGAAAATAAGAAGTCAGAGAAATCCCCAAACACCTAAGGTGATTTCTGGACACACAGCTGTTTCTGACGACAGCTAAATTTAAGCTCCCAGGTACAACTGCAGAGAGGCCCAGAGCTCCTGCCTACCCTTCGCTAGGAAGTCACAGGTATTTATCACTTGGCTCAGTAAGAAATAAAAGCAACTTTTCTTTAAACACAGCTAAAGGAAAAGCAAACAGCTAGTGAACAAATGTACCAGAGCCTATATTAAATCATCACTATGTATATTTAGTTATTAATCAGAAGAAAAAATAAATTCTTCCTCTGAAGGGAAGTGGTTGAATGACATATAACAGATTTTCAATAATGAAATGTATTTTATCCAACTTGCTTTTATTACACTGGAAGCAATTAATTCCTAAGGCTTTAATAGCTGAAATAACAGTATTTCCCAAATACAAGGCATTTAGATTTTTACAAAGAGGCTTTTACATCTTATCCTTATGATCCCATTGAATTTGCCTCATCAATAAACCACTTCTTTAAGATTGAGAGAAGTAAAGTGAAGTGTTCAAGATCACACAGTCATTCATGGGAGAAAAACAGGTATTTGGCTGGCTAATCCAATGCTTTTTAAGTGCTCCACCCTATCTATTACATATGACAGCACCTCCCTCTGTATTGCACCAAGCATGGAGCACCCTATTACTGAGACTCTGAAAGTTAAGACTGACATCTAATGGTGGGTTCAGAGTCTCACAAATAGGGGTCTGGTGGACTTTTAATGTGTGGGCATTAAGGTTCCTTTACATGAGAAGATGGAAGGGGCATGGCTTCCCACTAAGGACATGTACACCTGGATTCCAATAGGACTGGGACCTTAGACTTTTCCAGGCTCTCTAATACAGCAGATGATAGGAACTGAAAATACATAGACTGATACTACCTTCTTTACAATAATCACAAAGAAAATCACTTAATGTGATTAATTCCAGTTACTGGCCCAACAATAAAAGTGCGACAGGCCACAAGCCTATTCACAATTCCTTCTCTATTTACAATGGTCATGAGAGTCTTTTCCCTCTTTCCAACAATACACAACTAATATCTAACTTCCAAATCTCTTCAAGGCTCAGCATCACTCTGTTAAGTCTTTGCTTCTTACTGCACACTGGGCCTCTTCACCTGTTCCTTGATCTGAAAAAGAAAGTAACTACTGCCTACCACACTGAGATGAGTTGAAGCTAAAGTGGAGTCCATGTGAGGCTTATCTTTAGTTGTTCTATTTTGTATCTTTTTAAAAAACAGAACTAGGGTACCACCAGAAAGCAGTGTGTTGCCTACTTAGAGCAATTTTCACCATTATTTTCTAGACTTATCATTAGGGAGTTATAAATAATTTAACACAATAGAAATACAGAAAAATGTTAACTGTGGAGTTAAATTATAATACCTTATTTGGAGGATTTTGATACCAGTTAGCATTAAGAAGACTTTTACTTCCAATTAAACACCCTGGGGACTATCAAAAAAAAAAAAAAAGAACAAAGAGAACCCAAAGACTGTACAAAGTATCATCTAATACATATACATATCTCGAAGTTAGTACCCTAGTATATAAAAACTTTAATTCTTACAAAACATTCTGGAATCATAAAATAAAGAGAAGTACAGTGGGGAGAAAAGTAAGAAAAATGTTATGACATTCTATAAGAAGATCTATAAAACTTGGCCTCATTAGAAAATTTTAACAATGAAAAAAGTTAACTTAAAAGATTCTGGACTGGCAAGATGGCTCATTGAGTAAAGTCACTTGCTTGCCAAACCTGACAACCTGAGTTTAATACTTGAGGCCCACATGTTGGAAGAAAATAATCTACTCCTGTAATTGTCCTCCAACTTCCACAAGTCCATAGTAGCACATGCATACACACACACCTAAGTATAAGGCAATAAAAAAATTTACATCTTTGGAGCTTGATGGCTGCTCTTGCAGAGGACCCAGGATCAATTACCACCATTCACATGCTGGCTAACAACCAGAACTCCAGTTCCAGGGGATCTGACACCCTCTTCTGGCCTCCACAGGCAATGCATGACATGGGTGCACTTACATGCATGCATATAAAACACACAAATAAAATTTAAAAAAATGTTTTTAATTTAAACTTGTTTAAAATTATATTTGCAGCTGAAATTCAAATCTGTTCATGCAGACATTACACATATCATAACAGCCAGTAGTAGACTTAACTTTCTAATGCCTAAACTGTCAGTTTCTTTACAATTAAATAGGAATGATGCAGATCTTTACAACAGCAGCCAAGACTCACTGGAGACCATGAGCACAGAGGAAACAGACTAGTGAGGGAAGGATAATGTGCCTGTCAGGCTCACGCCCAGGTCCACAGAGCTCTCTGGCAGCCTGGTCTGCCCATACCTGCTGGGTGAGGAGACTGATGTGGCTGGCTGGAGAATACTGCCTGGCTGCCTGCTTCTCAGCGAGCCACTGGAGTTCAGCTGTAACCAGACTTTGGTTGTACCTTCTGTTGAATGAAGTATCTTCACCATCTTTTTGTGTTTTGACTATTCCAGAATGATGCTTGTGTGGGTGGCATGAACCTGCTGAAAAAAAGATCAAAGTTCTCACCCATGTATGAAAAAGTCCTGAATAGACTCAGAGTGGTAACAAAAATAAATAAATAAATAAATAATAAATACATACATAAATAAAAATAAAATCAGACCAAAGCCAGGCGTGGTGGTCCATGCCTTTAGTCCCAGCACTCAGGAGGCAGAGGCAGGTGGATCTCTGTGAATTTAAGGCCAGCCTGGTCTACATAGTGAGTTCCAGGACAGCTGGGGCTACAGGGAGACCCTGTCTCAAAAAGACCAAAAAAAAAAAAAAAAAAAAAAATCAGACCAATAGACACTTTGCTGAATCCTATGACACAAAGAAGAATAAAGTACCTTCAAATGGTCATAAAAATCTATATAAATCCTTACTGTATCCTGGAAATTTCTCCTATAGTCAACTTGTTACATGTGTTTATTAAAGTGTGTTGGCTTACTCTGAAAGCCTCAAAAGGAAAGATTTTTATCACAGGTAGAATTTACTGATCTTATGTAATTAAAAAATTTCATTGTGCTGGGAATCCAGCTGAGTGACTATAAAGTCCTGGGTTCAATCCTCAACATCATCAGAAAAAATAAAAATAAAAAACCAAAAATAAAACAACTTTGAAACTCCTACTTCTTGTTTGGTTTCATTCCATAAATGCACAAGTCAGTTTGGCATCCATGGCAACACCACCCACAGCCCTTACCAAGCTCCAAAGGGAACAGGGATGAAAGAGAAACCAAGTGAACTTATTCAAATGGCAGTGACTTTTATTCTTTCAACTATTTTATCAGTGTTCTACTATTCTGAACCTTGAAATTCTCACAAAAAAGATTAACATAAATCAAGGTTCAAGATTTTTCTTGATTTTAAGACAACTCACCGAAAAAAAAAATTTAAACAGAAAAGTAGAAAGACTATAATGTATTTCCCTTCTATACATTTATTTATCTTTGTGGTGCTGGGGATTGAGCCAAGAGTCTCAAGCTCTATCAGCTCTGAGTCACACCTTCCAGGTCCCTTGTGTCCTTTTGAAATGCTAACATAATCATGATTGTTCTATATATACAATGTAGTAGAACTCCTTAAAAATGCTTTTTCTTGGGGCTGGAGAGGTAGCTCAGCAGTTAAGCGTACTGGCTGCTCTTTCAGAGGACATGGGTTCAGTTCCCAGCACCCACATGGTAGCTAACAACTCCTGTTCCAGGGGATCCGATGATGCCCTCTTCTGACCTCTGCAGGCATTTATATGACATGGGTGCACTTACATACATGCAGTCAATATATTCATATACATAAATAAAAATAATATAAAATATTAAATTTAAAAATGCCTTTTTGTGTTTATTATTTGGTATATACATTTGTACAATGGATGTGTAAGTTGTAAGTGCATTACAATGCATACCTGTAAACTGTCCACCACACCCATGTGCTACATTTCCAGTAGAGTACATCGTTGAGCTCCCCTTGTCACTCATTCTCCTCCTTTTGTAAAATGTCATTTTATCACATACTTATGAATGTATTTGCCTTTATATGTGTGCACACACAAAATACTAGATTACTGCAATGTTCAGGCTCTGTAAAAATGGCATCCTATTATAACAGTTGTTATACAACATGGTACTGACTGACAACAGTCACTCTTGCTAAGCCCAGCTCAAACTCATGCATTTTATTTGCTGTCCTGTTACTCTATTTTTCAAGTATTCCACATTTATTTTTCTGTTTACTATCAGTGACTATTTTGGACATTTTGAGCTGACTGCTGTTTAAATAATGCAGCTATGCATGCCCATGCACACATCTGCAGCACAGCTTTCCCCATGCCCATGCCTAGGAGTAGAATTGCTGGGTCACAGGGTTTCACGCTTGGCTTTGGGAGCCCACCTGATATACCTGAGAAAGGGAACCTCAATTTGGGAATTTCTTCTATTGGACTGGCCTGTAGGCATGTCTGTGAGGAATTTTTTAACTGTTGAGTGATGGGCCCAGTCCACTGTGGGTGGTACAGATGGTTCTGGGCTATAGAAGAAAGAAGACTAAGCACAGGCTAGAGTTCTAACCCCCAAGTTCCTGCTTTAGGCTCCTGCCCTGTCTTCCCTCAAAGATGAACTGTGATAGGTATGTGTAAGCCAAATAAATCCTTTCCTCCCCAAGTTGGTTTTGATTATAGTTTTATCACAGCAATAGAGCACTAATTAGGACAAAAGGTATACAATTTTCAAATTTAAAGTGATAATATCAGAGTGGCATATTTTACACTCCTACAAACAAGCATTCCTACTAATCCATTTTCTTTTTAAAAATATTTTATTATTTTTATTTTATGTACCTGCATGTATTGTCTGCATGTAGGTAAGTGCATCCGTGTTGTGCAATGCCTGCGGAGGACAGAAGACGCTGTCGGATACCCTGGAACTGGAGTTACAGTTGATAGCTGCCATGTGGGTGCTGGGAATCAAATCCGGGTCTTCTGCAAGAACAGTGAGTGTTCTTAACGGCTGAGCCACCTCTCCAGCCCCAACATGGAGATGTAATCCATATTCTTTAATACTCAGTATTACCAAACACTTGAATACTTCCTCCTCTAAGAGGCCATGAAAATTCACTGCAATCTTCATTTACACTTCTCTGATTAACAATGATTTTGGGGATGTTTCTCCTTTTCTGATACCCTTTGCATATATATTTACTTTTGGGGATTTTTAATACAGTACAGATGAGGGGACCAGGTTCATTTCAGCTCCTTCACTGCCAAACCAGAGCACAGGGACTTCAGTTTCTCTGCCTTCTCCTTGTTTGTGATGACCAGGGTGTATCTGCTGCAGTAGACTTCAAACTTCACATTATCCTGGTTTTTCTTGATCTTGACAGATTTTGAATACCTTCACCTGGCTATGAGCAGAAGGTCCTTGATTTCCTCAATTTTCCAAGGCACGGCAAGGGCACTCAAAGCTGGTGATGGCCCAGCTGTGGAATGCCCTGATTAACCACCTCCATCCGTTTCACTGTCTTTTTCCTCTTGAATTATAAGCGTTGGACTTCTGGTTTTACTTTTACTTCATTTCAAAATTCTTGAAATTTATTTTAGAAGTATTAGTTCTACACCTGAACATTATTTTTTACAGACAGGGTCTCACTGTGTAGCCCAGGCTGGCCTCTTGAACGCATGCTCTTCCTGCTCCACTTCTGAGTGTGCGGGCCATCCACGGCTGAAATGTACTTTTAAATCCAACTGACGCAGGGATTAAATTTCATTTTACCACAGCATCATTTATGAGAAATCCATACTTTTCCATCATGATCTATGAGCCACCAACCTGTGTGGTTTCTCTTAACTTTCTCCTCCATCCTTTGATCTGTGTGTGCTTTTGCTAATCGCACACCATCTTAATTATCACACCTCATGTGAGTCGTAATGAAGCACTCTTCAAGAGAGTCTATGTTCCTTCTTTCACCTTTATTGTCATTTCAGAATGATACTGAGTTCAGCAATGAGCTTGCTGTGATTTTTGAATGGATTTTGAATCTAAAGATCAATTTGCCTTTTGACATTTTAAAAATTTCATTTTAAAAGTGTTCTCTGAAAAAATTATGCTATCATAATTTTTTTTTTTTGGGGTCTTTTGGAGACAGGGTCTCCCTGTAGCCCCAGCTGTCTGGGAATTCACTATGTAGACCAGGCTGGCCTTGAACTCACAGAGATCCGCCTGCCTCTGCCTCCCAAGTGCTGGGACTAAAAGCATGCGCCATCACACCTGGCTGATAATAGTGCTTTTTAAAAACATTGTTTTGGCCAGGCATGGTGGTGCACACCTTTAATCCCAAATTATCTATCTATCTATCTATCTATCTATCTATCTATCTATCTATCTATCTATAATATATATATAAAACCCTGTTACTGACTTTTATCTTAGCTGCAATATTGATAAAGAATGATACTGTGTGATTCCAAGTCTTGCAAATTTGTTCTTTAGCTCATCATGTAGGACAAGATTGATCTTTATAAATATAACATGTGGGCTAGAAGAAAGTATTTTCTTGCTGGGTGCATAGTCCTAAATATGATCAACAGACAAGCTTACCATTTTGTTCAAATCATCTTTTTTTAAAATTACATTTATTCATTTACTTATCTTTGTGTGGTTGGGGAGGTCACAGTGTGTAGAAATCAGGGGACAACTGCAGAGTTGGTTCCTTCCTTCTTGTCAGGCTTTGCAGCCAGTGCCTTTACTCACTGAGTCATCTTGCGGTATCCCACCCTTTCATTAAAAATAAGGCAGGCGGATTTCTGTGAGTTTGAGGCCAGCCTGGTCTACATAGCTAGTTCCAGGTCAGCTGGGGCTACAGGGAGACCCTGTCTCAAAAAGAAAGGTTTCATAAGGCCGGCTGACCTGGAACTCACTATGTAGACCAGGCTAAATCTGGACTGAGAGAGTGGCCTGCCTCTGCCTTCTAACTGCCTGGATTAAAGGTCTGTGCCACCATACCCAGCTAATGTTAGCTTTTTGTAAAACATGGATTATATGTAACTCACTTTAAACATGGTTACTACTAAATTGTTCAAAATCTCAATCAATGCTAAAACATTCAATGGATTCAAGTTCAACAGATCACTATCAACATATCATGGAAAAGAACTGAGACTCTAGAAATAAATCTTTACATTTGCAAGTAACAGATTTTCAATAAGAGTGCCAAGACAGTCCAACATGAAAGTAGTATTTTAAAAAAAAATAGTGCTAGGAAAACTGAGTACCAACATGCAAAAGAATGGAGTTAAACTCTACGTCACACCATACATCATAAGTAACTAAAAATGGACAAAAGATCTAAATGTAAGAACCTGACATACAAAACTCTCATGAAAAAAGATTTCAAGGAAATCTTTGTAACTTTGGTTAGACAGTATTTTTTCAGGTATGATATCAGAATTACAAGCGACAAAAGAAAAAGAGAAACTGGATTTCATCAAGTACGCGTCAAGATAAGATAACCAATAGATGGTGGGGGGAGGGGAGCATGTGAGAATCAATACTCACCATTAGCCATTAAGAAAATGCCAATCTTACCTCCCCCATACACACAAACATACTAGACAGACAGAGGAACAGACACTAACTCATACCCCTTAGGATGAGTGAAATAAAAAAGACACTAAATGCTAGGAAGAACACAGTTGATCAAAAAGAGGAATGATAAAATTAATCATATGGCCCAGCAATTCCAGCCATTTATACATACAAGAAGTAAAAACATATGTCCACAAGTAAACTTGGAAAGTACTGCTTATAGTGCCATTATTCATGAAGGCCAAAAGGTGGGAAAAACAAATGTCCATCAGCTGACAAACAGAAAAACTACTATTGGTATATCCATATAAAAGAGCATTATCCAGCCATAAAAAAGGAATGAAGTGTGATTCATACTACCACATGGATGAACCTTGAAAACATCATGCTAAATCAAAGAATCCAGCCACAAATACCATTTACTGCACAATTCTAATTATGTGAAATGTCCAGAATGGGTAAATCTTTAGAAAAAGAAGGCCCATCAGTGGTTGTCAGGGGCTGGCAGGAAGAGGAAATAGGCAATAACTGCTAATAAACATGGGTTTCTTTCAGGAAAAAAGAAAATGTTCTGAAATCAGGTAGTGATTTTAGTTGGACAACTCTGTGAACATACAAAAACCCACTGAATTTACACCAAAAAGAGCCAAGTTTCTGAGGATGAGTTATTCCTCAACAAAGCTATCATTTTAAAAAAAATGGGCTGGAGCTCTAGCTCAGTGGTAGGGTGCTCACTTAACACATGTAAGATGTCGGGTTCAATCCCCAACACCATAAAAAAATGGGGAGAAAATTTGACTGATAATATGGGTCTAATTCATTTAAAATTAAATATTCTTTTTAATGAATTCTTTGGTTATGCATTCAGGTTATCTGTAGCTTTAATGAATTGAAAAGTGAAACAGAAAAAGTTGTCAAATGCCAGGAATAACTACTTGAATCAGAAAGAAGGCACTGGGCACATTCGTAGGTCTATGATTATCTGTAGTGGGAAATCTAGATGCTGTGGCCTATTCATCTCTTCAGTACCTGAAAACAGCCCTGCTTCATTCTGCATCAGTGAAGGAATGCTAGTGGGACAATGCAAGACCCTTCTTAGTCACAGCAGAGGCAGCAAAAGAAAAGGCAAGGGAAGGAGGTATTCTGTTCGCATGGGGCTGGGGAGGAGCTGACAAGGCAGGCTACCTTCCATCTTCTCACTCACCTGCCTTTGCTGAAGAGGGACGAGACAGTTTCTGGCTATAGATGTGTGCAGCACTTTGGAAGGAGGAAAAAGGGCCAATGGTGTAATTGCCTGATCGACAGCGTGGCAGGCCAGCAGGGCTTATGTTCTGGGTCCCAGGATGTATGGAGGGAGAAGCACTGTTGGGGACTGGGTTCAGTAAAAGTGTTGGCTGGTGAGGCATGCTGGGGATAGCTGAAGAAATTTGAGATAAAGAAGAACGGTGGCCAGGACATGATGAGAGGGCAGAGGTTGTAATAATAGATGACAAGTGGGTGCTGGGAATTTTCTGCAGAAGAACAGCAGCAGGACCAGAGAAAGAAGCAGAGGAACAATTGGTATAGACTAATTTAGTCTCTTTTCCTGCTGAACTGGTAAATCCTATTGAAGCAAAAAACAAAACAAAACAAGAAACAGGTCATTTTAGGAAAAATAAACATACAATCTCTAAAACACAAACATTTTTAGAACATCAAAACAATGTTAACATGAAACAGAAAATTATGAAAATATAGGCTTTAATGATTTGTTCATCTTGAACTTAATAAATTTTGCCTACCTGGCAACAAAATTTTGACTTTATTTTTATTCCTTCCTAAAAGCTTGAGTTGGGACTACCCCACAAAGCAGAGCAGGCTTCTTCTACAAACGTTAGGTAAGTAGGACAATTGCTACAAGCAGTACCTAATTCCTCTCCCTCTGCTTTTCGCCCTTCTAAGAAAAACAAAATGATCAGAACTTCTAAAGAAAATGGAAAAATACTTCTGAAGGAAAATAGGTTATCAATAATTAGGAAGACATTCTAAGAGAAAAGGAAGAGCAAAAAGAAATTGTTTGGGGCAATGTTCCATGCATTAGAAATATTTAACATCTGATGACTATTTTTCTTTTAGAGTTGATCTATGCAAGTTCAAACACTCACGAGATAATTTATCAGAGTGGAATTCTGCTGCCTGTTGTTGTTTAGGTTGTTTCATTTTCACTTCTTGAATTGTCTCAGGGTGATCTGAAATAAGAAATATTGACTTAAGTTCTTTTACTAATTAATTCATAAAATGAATCTGTTTATAAAAATGTAACACAGGGGACTCCCTAAGCCACATTCACCCTTCCATCCCCCCCCCTCGCCGTTCTATACTCCTAGTTTGAGCCCTGCGCCACTCCTAGTCTTGGGGCCCCAGACACCTGGGGAACCAATACTGCTTCCTGACCCAGAG